AGGGTCTCTCTGTAGTCCCAGCTGGCCTGGAACTCACTATGTAGACCAGGCTGGCCTTGAACTCACAGAGATCCGCCTGACTCTGCCTCCTTAGTGCTGGGATTAAAGGCATGCGCCACCACGCCCGGCTCAAAAATTTTTAAAAAGCGTGAATTCCACATAAACTTATCTATTAAGAAAGTTGGACATTATCTTATTTTGTTGCCTTGCCTCTGTGTACATTGGACTGGGAGAAGCCAGGGTTCAGTCCCAGCCCTGCCATTCACTGTTACATGACCTTAAGCAAATCATTTTACCTCTCTGAGTCTAGTGTCATCATCTATAAAACAGGGATAATACTGCCCTGCCAGAGGTTTTTGTGCAAATCAGGTAGGTACGAAGCACTTGGCACCATGCCTGTCCCATGGTAGGCATACTCTTTTCCTCTCCTCCCTTCTCACCATTCCCCCACTTAAAGCATAAAAAGAATCTTTAATCACCCCGGTAAAACTGTTTATCATTTGTAGGGAAGTTTGCTTCACACACTCCCTCCTGTCTTAGAAAAACAATTGGGATGTGGTAGATTGACTAGGGCTGAGGGAAGTTTTGCTGCATCAAGACAGTCTATTTAGAGACTTAGTAAGTTACTCCACCTACTAAGCTTCCATTCCCTCATCTTGTCTATGAATGTAAAAAATATACCCTATAAGATGGCCAAGGAAATTAAATATTGTGGGAAAACTGCTTTGTAAACCACAAATTTACAAGATATACAGATAAAAATCTAAGTTTCATACTGAAGGATGTTCCTACACAGTTAATATATAGTGATTGCTTTTCCTAATAGGCTTTCAAAAGAGCTTCTTCTGGACCCACAGCAAACCCTGGTCTTCAAAGTTTGGCATAAAGGAGGTATGAGCTCTGTCCTGTGAATGTCTGTCTCTGTCTCTCCTTAGTGAGGTAAAACCATGGTACTGATAGTACTGGGAAGACAAATGTTGGTAGAGAACCCTACAGAAACTTATTCACCTGTGAAATTTAAATACTTAGAAATCGAATTTTTAAAAATTTTTCAAAAAGAGGGGGCTGGAGAGATGGCTCAGCGGTTAAGAACACTGGTTGTTCTTGCAGAAGACCCGGGTTTGAATCCCAGCACCTACATGGCAGCTAACAACTGTCCATAACTCCAGTTCCAAGGGCTCTGACAACCTCTTCTGTCCTCCAAGGGCAGTGCACAATACAGTTGCACTTAACCTACATGTAGACAATACACTTATACACATAAAATAAAAATAATAAATAAATAAAACTTTTTTTGGTCTTTTTGAGACAAGATCTCCCTGTAGCCCTAGCTGTCCTGGAACTCACTATGTAGACCAGGGTTGCCTTGAACTCACAGAGATCCGCCTGCCTCTGCCTCCCAAGTGCTGGGACTAAAGGCGTGCACCACATCACCCCGCTAAATAAATTTTTTTTTTAATTCTTCTGTATGAAAAAAAATAATAATAAAAAAATAATGATTAAAAAACAATAATTAGTAGATGTGAAAAACATTACCATTGAAATCTACCTGATGACTTTATATTCATGCTCAGATGCCAAAGATCTCAGAAAGTAACTGACTGTGACTAGTAACAATCAGATATATAGTAATTAG